TCCCCCCCCCCCCCCTCGGCCTCTTGCCCCTTTTGTGCTCCCAGCCCAAAAGCTCTTTCTTCTCTCCCCTCAAGTCTCCATGGAGACCCGGGTGCCTTCCCGGTATCCCCGGCTGCGGGCAGACCCTTCAGGGGGAATTCCCACGGTCCTCTGAGGGGATCGGCCACAGCCAGGGATACGGGGAGGGCACCTGTACCCCTCAGCCCCCTATCCCCTGCTGTCCTCCCCAGCTCTCAGCACGAAGGAGACCTTCCTGGTGCTCTCACTGCACAACAAGTTGAGGAGCAAAGTGCAGCCTCCTGCTGCCAACATGCAGAAGCTGGTGAGCCCCCTTGAAGGTCCCGTGTCCCCACCTTTCACCCCATGCCCATGTGCAGTAGTGCAGCAGTTTGCTAACACTCTAATGAAGCAGAAGAGCTGGCTGGTGTGGGGCCCGTGGGGAAGAGCATGCCACTGGCACTGACACATCCAGGGTGCACCAAAAGCAGTGCTGGTCCCTTGAGGTTCCTTTTGGGATCTCCCATGTCCCTCTGGTGCCTCGTAATCACCTCACACCTGCACACACCAAGGACACAGCAGGGCTGGTTCTTTGGAGCCCTTTATGGGGTTCTCCATTCCACATGATGGTCCTTGATTTTTCCCAACCACCTTACATCTGAACACACCAAAGCAGGGTTGATCCTTCCGTGTGTCTCCCATGTCCCGTGGTGGCCCTCAACATCTCTCCATCACCTCCCAGCTGCCCACACCAGGGCAGGTCTGGTCCCCAGGGCTCCCTTGGCAGCATCACACATTGTCGACCCTCTGATGTCCCTCAGCCACCTCCTGGACTGAGTATCTTGGTGGTCCCCACACACCCTTGGGCTGTTCCCTGGGTGGCTCATGCTCATTCCTGCAGGAGTGGAGCGAGGAGCTGGGGCAGTTGGCAGGGGCACGGGCAGCCAGCTGCCTGGAGGGCCCTGCTCCACCACCAGCCCCACAGTTGGGCTGGAGCGAGGTCCTGCTGCCGGTGGGCGCCGGAGGCTTCAGGGCCGTGCTGGAGCTCTGGTTTGCTGAGGGACAGCGCTATGACTACAGGACGGGGCGCTGCAGCAGCAATGCCACCTGCAGCCATTACACCCAGGTGGGCACGGGGGGCACGGGGGGGTGCAGGGCTCCAGGACACCAGTGACAAATGCTCTCCCACAGCTGGTGTGGGCCACAGCAGGACAGCTGGGCTGCGGCCGACACCGCTGCCCCAGCCCCCACGGCCCCAGCGAGGCCTTCGCCTGCGCCTACTCGCCGGGGTAAGGGGCTGCAGGGTGGGGCTGGGGCTTGGTGGGTGGGGCTGCGAGGGTGGGGCTTGGCATGAATGGGCGGGGCTTGGAGATGTGGGTGGGGTCTCAAGCAGGTGTGTCCAGGTTGGGGCATGGGTTGACCTATGAGATGTGTGGCAGGGGAGGGGGTGGAAAGCTTGTCCTGGTGGCAGGTGGGACTGTGCACTGAAGTGGGTGGGGCTTGGAAATGCAAATTGGGCTATGTTCTGGAAGTGGGAGGGTGTGGATGTTCTAGGCGGGGTTGTGTGTTGAAGTGGGCGGGGCTGAGTGCTGTGGACAGAGATGCAAGTGGGTGGGGCTGGGGAATGAAGGCAGGGCAGTGATGTAGAAATGGGTGTGGTTTTGCCATGTGGGTGTGGGCTTGCCCCAGAAAGGGGTGTGGCTTTCCCGGGTGGGTGGGGCATCTTCCTCCAGCTGCCTGTGGGGCCAGGGGCAACTGGGAGGTGGCCGGGATGCCCATCCTGCCCTACAAGCAGGGACCCTGGTGCTCCCTCTGCACCGCTGGCCTCTCCGGCTGCTTCAAGTCCTGGGACCACAGTGGCGGGCTCTGCGGTGAGTCTCCCCCGTCACCATGGCCTCTGCATGACCCTGGTGCTGCTGTCTCCACCCCTGATGCCCTCACTGTCCCTCTGGTGTTTCCAGAGGTGCCCAGGAACCCCTGTCGCATGAGCTGCAGGAACAGTGGACACCTCGACATGAGCAGCTGCCAGTGCACCTGTCCCCCCGGCTACACAGGCAGGTACTGCCAAGGTGAGAGGGCACCGTGCAGCCTCAAGAGGCTCATGCATGGCTGCTGCAGGGCATATGTGTGCATGGCTGCTGCAGGGCATGCAGGTGCAGGGCATGCACGGGCACAGCCGGTGCAGTGTGGGCAGCACAGACAGGGGCAGGGGCTGCCCATCCCCCTGGAGCTAATGCAGTGCTGTGCCCACAGTGAGGTGCAGCGGGCAGTGCCTCCACGGAAGGTTCAGGAAGGAGGAGTGCTCCTGCCTCTGCGAAGCGGGCTACGGTGGAGCTGAGTGCGGCAGTGAGTCTGCGCCCACCTGCACTGCTGTGGGGTGGCATCAGGGATCCACAGGCAGGGGACCCCAAAGTGGGACAAAAGGTCCTCTGTGGGCCCATCTCTGCTGCCACAAGGACCCACCTGCTCCTGCCTGTGTCCCCAGCAAAGATCCATTTCCCCTTCCATGCCTGTGACGTGCGGATAGACAGCGACTGCTTCATGGTGTCCCCTGAAGCCGACACCTACTATGGAGCCAAAATTAAATGCCAGGTGAACTCCTGGGGTGCTCCAAGCATCTCTGTGCATCTGAAAAGTGCTACCCATGCTTGCAGCCCCCCTGGGCATCTCTCCTCTGCCTGGAGCGGTGCTGGGCCATGCAGGTGGGGCAGACTCACTCCCTTCCCCATAGGAGAAAGGAGCAATGCTGGCCCAGATAAGAAGCCAGAAGGTTCAGGACATCCTGGCTTTCTACCTCAGCCGCTTGGAGATGGGTAACAGGGTGACAGACACTGATTTTGAGACTGGAAACTTCTGGATTGGTGAGAGACAGCAGCAGGCAGGTTGCAGAGTGCCCAGGATGCTGGCAGACGTGCCAACCCACCTCCTGCTCCCCCAGGTCTCACCTACAAGACATCCAAGTCTTCCTTCCGCTGGGATGTGGGTGAGCCATCCTCATTCACCAGCTTCGCTTTTGGGCAGCCAGACAACCAGGGGTAAGTGGATCTAGAGGACACCAAACTCTGCATGGTGTCACTGCTGACTGGCTTCACCACCATCCTGGTGGGACACAGGTTTGGGAACTGTGTGGAGATGCAAGCATCAGCTGCCTTCAACTGGAATGACCAGCGTTGCAAGACCCGAAACCGGTACATCTGCCAGTTCGGTGAGTGAGCGGCTGGGAGCCCTCCTGTGCTGTCCTGGGTGTGCTGGGCCCTGGAGGTACCAACCCCCAGCTCTGCTGGCTCGGGTTCTTGTTGCCAGCCCTGCCATGACCTCTGTGTCTCTCCTGGGTGGGAGGCACTGACTCTACTCATGCCATTGCAGCCCAGGAACACATCGCCCTGTGGCAGCGGGACCCCTGAGCTGGTAGCCCTGGAAACTGGCCAGCGCTGGCTGCTGTGCTGAACCTGTGGCTCAGGAGAACCCTGGTGCTGTGCCAAGCCCAGACCATGGCTCAGGAGGATCTCTCCACAGCTCACTTGTGCAGGGAATGAGGGGCTGAGGGGACCCATGGCACTGCAACCTGGCAAGAAGGGGCGTGCTGTACATGACCATCCCTGAAACAGCATCTTCTTCTGCCCCTCATCTTCCTCTGTCACTGTCACTCTGCAACACTCTGGGCAGGAGATGTCCCTTGCAACAGCCAGGTACAAAATCATCCTCCTCCAAAATTGGCAGCTGGGCTGTGTCTGGACGGTAATCTCAGTGTGACGAGGGGCCATGGGGGCTCTTTGGGGGTGCAGACCTTGGCACAGCTCAGGGTGAGGACTGGGCACGGCTCTGAGCCATCGTCCTGACCTGGGTGAGAATGTCCCAGCCTGGTGGGTTTCTCACCATCACCTGGTCCTTCATCATCTGCCCGCTCATTAATAAAGACCTCTCTCCCTTGGGAAAAGCAGTTTGTCTCTTTTTCCTCCTCTAAGCCCACCAGACTCCCTAGCCACAGCCCACATCCTGCCTGCACTGGGTGCAGCTTCCAGTTTCATCTCTTGGGTGGGTTCTGGGGTTGCAGGAGCCAAGGTCATCCTTGGCTGAACTCTTCAGTACATGGGGTTGTCCTGAAGGGATGGTGTTAGCCAAGAGCTGCTTCTTCCAACCTCAGGATGGCCTGAAGTCACAGCACCCCGTGTTCTGGATGCAAGCCCGTGCCCCCAGCACTGGTGGGTGTCGGTGGGTGTCAGTGGGTGCTTCTGGAGGTGATGTGCCACTGCCCTCCTCCTTTCATAAAAGCCCACTCCAG